TCGTCGAAAATGGCACGCAATCGTTCATCATTAACCAAACCAGATCGATTTCTCGAATAATAAAATTCGCTTTTTCCATTCGCTACGAGGAAAAATCGAGTTTAGAAGCGAAAGTGATTTATAAACCGGTGTAGAAAAGACGCGAGATCAGAGACAAAAATACGTTATGTAAAATATCATCTGGCTTATATAAGCGATCGAGAAGAAGGTCCAAGATGTGATCGAGCTTTTACCGCTTTCCTGCAAACTATATTATTGCCGGCTCGATTGATTTACCCCTCTGCGTTCGTGCAACAGGTGTGTCGCTGTGCTTCGCGTAGCGACGATATTCTTTTTATTTCGAAACACGATTTTCGAGAAACATCGAAAGGAAAAGCATCGAATCGCGAACGGGGGATTAAAAGAGACGAATATATAGAAATAGCGAATTGAGCGAATGACGGCGTCGAACACCGTCGAGGTCGAGCAAAAAAAAAAAAAAATTGAAGAAAAAACATGTTGGCTATACGCCAAGCGCGAAAAAGACCGTTGCACGATGAAGCATCGTCTTTCTTCGCAAAGGAAATATCTTCTCTAAAATCGTTTTATGGCACACTAAATTATCGTATTCTATAGAAATAATGTTACTCGATTTTATTGTTCTACGTGAAAGGTAAAATTCCCTTCGAATCATAAACTGGTGGCCGAGACGTTGGGATTGAATCGACGGTTACGAGAATAGATTTTAATATCTGTTTCTTTTTTTTTTCTTTTTCTTCTTTTTTTTTTTTTTTTTTTTTTTTTTTTTTTTTTTTTTTTTTTTTTTTTCCAATGAAAGAACAACGTTGTAACGTGGAAAATAGTGGTTCTTACGATCATGAGATCGAAGACAGATTTCTATTATCGCCTCGGACGAATCGATTTCCTGGAGATTAGCCGCGGCTATTGAGCATATCGAATTAGAGAAAGGTAGGAAAAATTGAGCAAACAGAGCGACGAGGCAAGCGTTATTCTCCAATTCCGATTCGCGTTCCTTTCCGCCGTATCCCACTTATGCTCGCGGGGCACCGTGCAAGTGTCTTTACACCTCGTTAGTCACTGTCTCGGAGAAAACGGACGTCAGCTCGATTTACGATCCGCCGACAGGAAGAAGGATTTCCATCCTGGATCGAGTGTACCCGACTTTATTTTTTACCCGCGAGGATAAAAGGAAATAACTTATGGCTCGCGCGTTTCTTTTCGATCGCGTGTCGCTACTTTTCTCGATTTAACACGTAGAATAAGCAACAATTTTTTTTATATCTAATTCAAAATTTTCTACTAAATTCCAGAAAATAGTATTGTTAATCTCGAAATTAATGAAATAATAATATTGAAATCACGATTATAATATATAAAGAATTAATAAACCCAGCAATAACTTGTTGATGAACGAAGTGAAGATGAAACTGGTGTTGGTGCTATTATCGCTAATCAAAGTGAAAATGGTATTTGAACACCTTTTATAAAAGCTATTATTAATAAACCTGAATCATCTACACTTATCAAACGACTAATAAATGAACTTTGACCCTTGAAAACTTTAAACGCTTCGAAATATTTAGATATTTTGTTCGGAGATATTATCCAAAAAATTAATTATTTATTTATTACAAACCGTTAATCGCGAGCTGAATTTTCTTCAACACGTGTGACACGAGTTAAACTATAGTTTATTTCGAATTACCTGCAAATTATCGATTTACAAAAAAAAAAAAATTTTTTACGATGTTTGGTTAAAAATCAAAAATTACTAACAACGATTCACAAGTTGAGAAGCACTGCAGCAATCACGTTAAAATAACGTTACTGCATGGGCGAGTGAAAAGGAGAGGAGGAAGGTAGATATCGAATCTACGAAATCGTTTCCGTTTCCGTGCTTTCGATTCGAGCACGTATGTGAAAAAAAAAAAAAAAAAAAAAAAAAAAAAAA